TCTATGTAAATTAGTCAGATTAATACAATTGAAAATACTTTATACTGGTGATGTACAGACATATTTTTTTATTGTACCGTTTGCTATAATTAATTTCCAACAAACTGAAAATTGTTCATTTTGATTTTTTTTTTTTTTTTGGATGAACATAGTGATACTTATAGTTAGTTATACTTATCTGTTTTAAGTAATGAGACACCTTAGGTTCAAGTGAGATTCAACAGACATTCATTACCCCATGTGTGCTTGTAGGTTCAAGGAAGTTTTAAAAGAAACATCATTAACAAAATTCTGTTATGGATTAATTGGATCCGTTTCTGCTCTAAAGCGGCGATGGACTGGAAGGCCTGAGCAGCTCATCATGGAAGAGATCTGCTGAGTCACAGAATGTCACACAGAATGTCACACAGAATGTCACAGCTGACATAGGTGCTTCGTCATCAGGAAGAACGGCAACACACGTTACAGGTCACTTCTTCCTGGGAAGCATTTGCACTTGTGTCCTGTTTTTAAGTTGTCAGCAGGTGGCATCATTAAGCAGAGAATGAGAGGGGGGGCACCCCCCCCCCCGCGAGCATAGACAGGAGCGCTGTTAGCACAGGCTAGGAGAGCACAAGGGCATTTAAATACCTTTCCAGTAATATAGGTTAGCTAATCCCTTTTGCCGTGACTCCTAAGGATGACAAATTCTGACAGAAACAGCACTGGCATCGTCAGAATCCATTATGGCCATAGGTGACAGCATTAATAGATGGTACAACATGACAGCTGTCACAAGCTGCCAATACCTGTCATCACTCAGTGTGATGACACATTAACATGAAAGGGCTATGATGGCACCATTGTAACAAATTTAAGGAAAGTAGCATCAACTCAGGTTCTGTTTTAATTAACCATGTGTGTGTGTGTGTGTGTGTGTGTGTACAGATCACTACTTCATGTAATTGACCCTATGATTCATCCTGCGGTTTCCTTACTGCTGTGAAATACCTTTGATTCCTAATATTAGGACACTGAAGACACCATTTATAGACTACAGCTTTTAGATAGCCAGACTAAATAAATCTAATTCCTGTCGTAAAATTTTAAATGTTTGTTTAGGGCTAATTTCACCTTCAAAAGAAAACAGATCCCCTTTGTGAAATCAGCATGACCCGCACGTGACTTGGAGATGCCAAAAAAAGCATAAAGTTATAGGAAATCAGAGATTTTACAACAACAGTCCAACACATTTGCTATGGTATGTTTAGAAGGACAGACTCTGGGCTCTGACACGCTCGTTTTCTTGGAAACCCCATCTTTAGCTGCTTCGCTCCTGCAATCACGTCTCGACGGCATCCCGCTCGTGCAGGTTCACTGGCCACTCACACCGGCTCGCCTCGCTCAGCCTCTGCCAGAAGGTTTGATCCCATTAAGAAAATTATGTTATGGAGCATCTGAGATCACACTCAGCCTGGTGGTGGGACGAGGGCAGCCAGCAAAAAGGGATGATGCCAGCAGCCTGTGGTGATTTCCTGATTACTGGCAGATGGGCCCTGAGGTACAGGGAGCTGGAGGCAGACGAGTCCGAGACAAAGGTGTCATTTACAAGCCTGGGGACACGCCGTGAGCATCACCATCACCCCCCCTAGAGTGGCACCATTCCTCCACCACTTTTCAACATTTTCAGTGCTTTTTTCCTTAGTGCTGGAGATCACTACAGGTTACTCTCAGGACAAGCAGTGGTAATACTTGGCAAACATCAAAAAAGAAAAAGAAAAATACTGATTACAAGTGTGCTGTGAGAAGACAGTAAGATTTTTGCATCTGACAGGGCAATAGAAGCCTGCTTGTTTAATCAAAGTGTCATTATTAAGTCTAGGGCATTTATTTCCATAGAGTGAAACTAATGACAGTTACCGCATGTTTAAAGAGCAGACAATATTCACCCAATCGAGCTCGATAAGCCCAGTGGTATGTTGCTGCAGCAACCTTAAGAGCAGCTCTGACAGCCAAAACTCTGGAATGATCACCCACCACCTTGGTCCTAGGGTCACACACAAATGCTGACAGTTGAGCTTTATTGAATTCTTACCGTCATGTAAAAAGATTATGATAATGTAGCAGTAGTACACTCTTAATCTATGAATTAGTACACTCTTACTTAATCTATTAATGAAGCAGAAACTAAGTGTTAGTTACATAGTGATCCAATGTTTGCTCATCATTAATCGGTCATGATAGTTCATGTATTTCATTCAGTTACTATATTTGTTCATGATTTGTACTTGAGTTGTAACTAAGTTACTAAGTTACTTGTGCCCCCTCAAGTAAAGTGTTACCAAAATTAATTCTGGAGGTGCGTTTGTACACTAAAATGTAATAATTAAATGTAACTGTATCTCCAGGGACAGACTCCAGGCTTGTACTGGATAATCAGTGTTGGAAATAGGATAGATGTGACTGTTTTAAATCCCTTACAAATCTGAGCCCCAATTGTTTGTTTGAATATTTAATAGAAACATATTGCATCTGTAAGCTTAATTCACCCCCGCCGTGATCCTGTACTGGATAAGCAGATGGAAGATACTTGGATATTGAACTTGTAACAGTGAAAGATTTCTGTATCTTGTAAGTTTTATTAGCCCCAATGTATACAAACCCTGCACAAACTCATTAATGCAGAGACTGGCAGGGACACAATGTGCATGGTCCCATATTACCAGGAATGAGGACCGTCCATGTATGGGAGGCATTTGATTAATACCTGACCACCACCTGAAATGATGCACGACCCGACTTACCATCTGTATAATGCATTCAAAGAACTAATCAGGCACCAAGGCTAGAGAATCGGCACACCGTGGGGTGACTGACATCACATCCAGGGTTTGGCACTACAGCAGCGGTCCAAAACCCTGAACTCGTAGAACTTCAGAGGGTTACAGATGTTCCTGCATCTCATTTCTTCGCTCATTGGACATAACTAGGCTCTGACTGACTTCTAAAGCTGCTTGACCCTTTCTGGAGTATTTCTGTAGGTGTGTAACTGTAATGGTAAACATGATGGACTAGGACACTGGGCCAAATGTAATTATGGTCAGTTATTAAATTTAATTACTTAATGGTTCAGAACCCCAGTACTATGATTGATTTATCCTGTTTAACTTGAATACATTTTCTTTTCACAATTGTCGAGGGACCTACATGAACCCACATGAGCTCAGATATTACTTTTAATTTTTGTTTCCATTAATATACACATAACAAGCCTCTCAGAGGAGCAGACCTTCAAAACTGTAAGCAGATGCAACATGTACTTGATCTGTTTTATAACAACTAAGTTTACTGATTTTCCTCACTGTGCAAGATTGTGCTGTGATTAACTCCCAAACTCCGCTGACCTTTCCAAATGATACATTTTTAAAGGTAACGATGGTAATCCATAATATTATGACTCATGAAATAATACAGTGCTAAATATAATTATGGTCAGTTATTAAATTTAATTACTTAATAGTCTGGAGTCCTTGTACCATGGTTGATTAATCCTGTTTAAGGTGAATATTAAATTTTTACGACTGCTGAGGGATGCAAACTAACCACATCCATTTCACCTAACACTTCAGTTTTTATTTTCATTACTGTACCTATAAAACTTCTTAACCGACCTAAACCTTAAAACCATAAACAGGTGTAACACTGACATCATTAACTTGTAAGAGCCCAATCAAATGGTAATTTACAGGCTTTTTTTGAACAGAAACTAGCAAACATGCCCAATGCCCCCCTTGGAACGTTATTGCAGATGCTTGGCTTTATGCTGGCCGCAGCGCTCTATGCTTATTTAAAGACACAGTACATACTTTATGGCTAGGACTCCAAGTGGCGGTGCCCCAAAGCCCTCGGGGTGGACCGGTACCCCCAGCGCCCCCCCCGTACCTCATCTCTTAAGTGCTGTACTGAAATAATCTCGCCAGTCTTAAGCAGTCGCACATGGTGTTTTAGGTGTCACTTGGGCGTTCATTAAGCCATATTATAAAACTTGCAGTACTTTGGAGACAGAGCGCTGGGTATCTCCGCTCGGTATAATTATGGCATGATTAAGAAAATACTGGATAAAAGTATGACTTCGAATAAGACAAAACACTTTACAGACTGGATCCTCCTCTAAAATATAACATCAAACAAAAATCCAAAACAAATACAATAAATCAGTCACATATTATGTAGCGGATGATTTACGCATCAATGAGCATTATTGCAAAGCAGTTATATTACAAATATAACCAGTTATACTTATGGTTAATGATGTATTTATTCTTTGATTTGACCTTCATGACGGCAATTTCCATAAAAGCGTTTTCAAGCGATCAGGCTTGCCGTCTCTGATACCGTGCGGTAAAAATGCAACAAGTTTTCACGCTATTAAGCATGTTTTACTATGTGCACCGCGGGCATTTCCATCTCCAAATTACGGGCGAACAGCCTGCGACTGCTGCCTCACTGTCAGCCCCATCAATATATTAACGTCGCAAACTCACCCTAATACATAAGAACATGTCCTGCGCGTATTTTATAATAGTACAGCATCAAATATTCATACTTAGTGTACCTGTCTAGTATCTTCACTTCGGATGGCTTGTCCCTGATACCTTAAAATCACTACATCATCGCCTTAGCTTGAAGGGTTCTCTCATGAGAACACGACAAGTTGTAATAATTCCAATTAAATTTGATAAATGATTTGCTAATATGACTAAACAAGCACTCGCGTATAATGACCTCCTTTATATACCTGGTCACAGCTGCCGTGCACATTTCCTCTACATCAGCAACACGATTTCTCCTAATAAAAATAAACGAGTGTATATCAATACAAAATCATTTGCAGGTAGACTATACACACGGAATACTTCATATAGACCTACTTATTTAAAGAAGCAACTTTTTCCCCCTCGTTCGATGCAGATGTACAGTGTGTGCGATACAACGAATCATACAGTGAATCTTACACTGACCTCTTTTGCTCCTTTTCCAGTGGTGCGGCTGACAGTGACTATGATCCACGCAGTTCAGGACGATAAGAGCCAAAGAGAAAAGTCGAAACTGCATCTGGACAGCTGTGCCTGAGCTCTTCACACCCGAATCACAAGTGTCAATATTACTATAATTTTCCGCTCTTCTTCCTCCTTTTATACGTAGTTTTTATGCAGAAGTCTTCGAAGAAAAAAAAAATCAGATCATATGCGGATTCCAAAAAGTCACAGACGAGCCGCGACAAATTCGTTTAAAGTCTTTAAGGGATAACATTTTATGAGGCGCGTAAAATTGTCCTGGATGTCCCCTCGTTTGCTGTAAAACAAAAGGAACATGCACATATCATGTAGATTCTAGCAACCAAAAGAATTTACCGACTTGATGATGATTCGGCTGAGTTATTGTCCAAAATTTTGCGCTGCATTTAAAACCACATTTTAATCGGGTAGTTACAGGGATTCAGATCATTGCAAGCGATTTTCTTTGCGCACTGTTTAGCACGGCAGATATTTTAATTGCGCAGATTGAATTACCTTTATTAATTAGAGGCGAGTCCGCTTCACTAAGCTGCAGCTCCTTCTGTAAAACTGCGAGCTCGGCGCAGGCAGCATCTCTCCTGCGCGAAAGTTGGTCAACAGATCTGTTTGGAGTACAACCTTTCCCCTCAACCACTCGTTTCAAATAACCCTTTCATCCTCCGATCTCCTGATTGAAAGCTTGTCCTTATTTAGAATCGCGGTCACTTATGATAACCTACAATTAAAACCTTATAGCAGCTTTATTCGCAGCAGACAAATGGAGGAACAAGCATCCTGATTTTGAATAGTTTACATCTGCGCTCGGTTGAGGTTAAGTAGTACCATAGGTTTTCATAGTTTGTCTTTTTTTTAGTTGGGCGTTTGTTCGTCTCACATGAGGATGTGGGGTTCTCTTAGACGACATGCATGTTTTTAAAAACCCCCCGTGGGTCTTGACTCATACTTTTCCTCTCCTTTGCAGAGATTTTTGAAAATGACACGCGTTTCATTGCCGGTCGCCGCGCTCCCCGGGGTCCTAGCGCTCGGTGGGGCATCTCAGCCCTGCATTCATCCAGATACACAGTCCTAGCGCAGACTAAATACCAATTTTTACACCGCCAGCTAAGTTTTCACCTCGATTTATCATCATCTAAAAAGGTATTACGTACATGGATCCACGAAAGAGTGCCAAGTAGTAAATTCTGGGACAATTAGTAGCCTATGTGTAATATTTCCCTAGTGTCACTGTCTGATATTCTCTCAAAATTTACATTAAATTACAACGTCTTTGTAAACGGAAACAGCTCAGACATTGGTGCGTATCATTTGCTTGTTTCTGAGTTGGCATGTAAACCAGTTCTGAATAATGCAGGGATTTCTGTCGGCCGACTGTAACATATCCATTATTTTCCCAAAGAGCCTGATAACAATACAAGAGGAATCAAATATAAAAGCTGCTGTATTTGGTGAATACGTATGAATTAAATGAACCAGTTAAATAAGTAAAAGAAAAACAGCCTTTAAAGTAAATTGAGAATATTGCCATACGACCATCAGTACGGAATATTATATATAAACCAATTAATGACTGTAGATACAATTAAAGGTTTTACACCGTTACTCCTTTACAACTAACACGAGCTTAATGCAAAGCCGGAAGACGTTTTAAATCTTCAAATTATTTTTATTTTTGTAGTACAAGGTTAAAATTGCTTTGCCAAATTTGGCCACTAGATGTGGTGCTCAATCTTAAGTACGAAAGTGGTGTTAATTTCTCGTTTCTCGTAGCCTATTAAGTAATACACAGATGTGTAAAAAGACACTATATATAACAAGTATTAAGGAAGCGCTTTCAGAAAACCAAAAGGGTGACAATGACAGACATTTCTGACCGGTTACTGTCATACTTGAATTTCATCCAGAAAAATACACCAAGCCACAGAACATATCCATCATTACAGAGCAAGGACATACTGCATCGCTAAAAATGAGTCTTACATTGGAATTCCATTTATTCATATAAAGAAATAAATCAAGGAGACGTCAAACCAGTTTGAAGAAATGTTTATTGAACAAAAAATGACCTGGTGTGAGAAACTACTGTCAGATGTACCAAAAATGCAAGCTTCTGCTGCCTGGATGGTCTGGTGGGGGTGGGGAAGGGGGGGGGGGGCAAAGTTCTTCATCCTCATTTACTTAATTTAATAAAAACCAGAATCTTGGGCGGCCCAGTTTGGAGTCTGAAAAACATGACAGGAAAAACAAGATGATAATTCTTTATCCGCAGAGGGGAAAAAAAGAGAAGCTTTTCTTGTTCAGGGCTAAATTTGAAATTTGAATCAGGATTAAGTGTTGCCTAAAACATCTTCAGAATCAGTACAATCACTAATGAAAGCAGCCCTCGCTGTGTTTAATTAGCACAAACATCGCCTTCTTCACTTTTCAGCCATTACAAGATACCCAAAGCCCCTGCAACCCACACATTAAAAAGGCTGCAACTCAGGGCTGGGGGGAGGGGGGCGGCAGCACAGATCTGTACTGGGTCTCTGAGAACTTCAAAAAGCATTTCATGCACCAAAACTAGTCTTCAAACTTTACAGATCCATGCAAAGCAGCACTAAGCACGTTGGTTTAAAAAGTGCGTGTGAGAGAGAGACAGTTTTATTTTCGCCTGCTGACTGTCAGCAGAGCCCAAGTTCTGAAGTATCACTGGCAGTGCGATAAAAGCTTTAGTTGTGTGAAGCAGGGACACCAGCAATTCTGCACATTACCCAGGGCCCACTGCAGAGCTTTCATTTAAGAAACAGGACTGATAAGCAGCAGGAAGACCTTCCAGGTCGCCTCTCAGGACTGCAGTCAAAACGAACATTTAATAATAATTTAAAAAAAAAACGACACTCGCCTCGTTTCGATTGTTGTGGTTCAGTTTCTTCTCGATGTTCATGGCCAGCATCTGACTGCGGAAGGACAGGCTTTTGGTCTTCTCAATCACCTGCTGATAGGGTGACACGGCGTTGTTCCCCATCACCACGTGGCCCTGAAACGCCGAAGGGAGGCACGTCAAGACGAGTCGTGCAGAGGGTCCGTGCGGTTGCCACGGTTGCACGCAATACCAAAGTGAAGCTGAGGAAGAGCAGGCTTCCCAATTCCATGGAGCACCACCTCTGTGAGAGGGTAAGGCCCGTCTGGCTCGAATTAATCTACTACCACTGAGACTCTTTCTGGAAAAAAACTTTAGACGTCTCTGTACTGTATCCTAGCATGCGTTTCCCCATTATACTCGATTAAGCGTGTGCGTGCATCCACACAAGCCCATCCTTCGCTGCCCTCCTAGGAAAAGACAGAAAACGCCCTGCCAGGACCTAATCTATTTTCCAAGCTGCACCTCTCATAACGAGAAGGCTAGACCCTCCAAAATGGAACATCTCAGGGAAAAGGAAACAGCCTCACCAGTTTGGAGTCTATTTTTGCGTCCAGCCTGGCATTGCGGATGAGGTTGACGATCCATCTCTCTGCCTCGTCGGGGGTCATGTTCAGCTTGTCCGCCAGCATGCTGAAATGTGAGAATCGCCGTGATGCTGGCGTTCAGCGAGACAAGACCAAGCTACTGCCCTCAGCTTTCAGCAAAGCCTACATTTAACTCAATATACACTGAGCTAAGCCATTAAAAAACAAAAAAGAAATTGTCTCTTTAGACCATCACACAATTTTTCCCCACATTATTTAATTGTAACATTTTTTCAAAAAAGTCTCAAGTTTGTGAGAATGACCCATTTCAACATTTGTTTAATGGTTTAACTTAAACTTATGATGTACAGATAACTTCAGCTAATAATTAAACAGGATATATAAAAACAACTTGTACAGCAGTTAAAACAGCAAAAGGAAAGGCAAGAACACACATCTACACACAGAGTCTCAGCAGAACATACATGCATAACTATGTGCAACAAGGCTGGAATCTTCACATAATTCTGAATCTGTCCATTTCCATCTCTGTTATTCCCCCCTTTCCAGAAACAGAGGGGCGGGGAGGAGATCTCTGACAGCACCATGCCAAGCTGCTCTCACACTCATTTTCCGACAATCGTTCCCTTGACTGGTCGATTCCCGCCGGGATAATAAGAAAGGTCATTTCACGGTGGTTTGGGGCGCGGATTGTTTCCACGAGCTGTGAAGGCAAGGCACTGGGCAGGAGTGTGGGACACGGCGAGAATGCCGG